ACATGGGATCAGAACCAAAAGTCTCTGCTGTGGCCACTTTCTGCTGTCACATGCGCTTACACACACACACACACACACACACACACACACCACACACACACACACTCGCTCGCTCGTACACATGCGCCCAAGGGTCTGTGCAACCTGGCTGACGAGGCCTGGAACAGGCCCTGGTGGGGGCGCAGACATGGGAACGGAAGAGGAGACACCCTATAAGGGCAGAGGCGATGCACTATTAGGGGACAGAAAAGGAAAGGGGTCCCACACGCACTCAGGAAATGAGGCCTCTTGGGGGGGACCACTCACTCTAAAGGTCCCCTCCACCCCCTCACAACACAGGGGACAGGCCCACACTCGGCCACTCACACAGTGGCACCTCCCACTGACATCACATACTCCGGCTGGTAGGGGTGACCCCTCACACTGCTGTCCCAGTGACGTCACTGGCAACCTGGAGCTGATGTCGCAACCAGCGGTTCTCACTGACGTCACACACACACACTCCTCCTTGGTGCCCCCCTTCGATTCCTCCTCTTTCTTCCTGCCCAGGTCCAATGCCCCGAGGTCCCCACCCACATACACAGCTCCAGGGCACACAGCTCACTCAGCACACAGGACAGGCATGTACAGACAACACCTGTGTGCACGTGTGCTTGTGTGTGCGTTCCTCTCACAGGACACACATTCACACACATATGCAGGCCCTCCTGCCCTGCTGATGGCCAGAACACATGTCCCACAGGTGCCCACAGGCACAGGCCACGGGAACAGGTGTGGGAGCCGGGCACACACACATTATACATGATTCAGCTCCCAGATGAAAACGTCCCTCGGTCACTAAGGCAGGCGGCCTGGGGCCTGCAGCCTCCGTGACATTCCTCCAGGTGCAGCCAGCACCCTCTCCTCCCCCTGCTTCGCTCCCACAGCCTGGCCTGCTGACGGCAGGCGACAGCGACAGCCCAGACACACACACACACTCCAGCCCAACACCTGTGTCTCTAGGCAAGGGGACTCAGGCAGTGCCCTCCAGAGGCAGCCCCGGGGCAGGGTGGGAGGAGGCCAGGGGGAGGGGACAGAGCAGGGAGCCCAGAGCTGCAGAAAGTGCCCTCAAGTACCATGTCCCCATCCTCCCCAGCTGAGAAGGAGCAGGGACACCACCCTCTTCTCCTCTCCTTGGGCCCGATGCAGGCTGGACTGGCTGCCTCCATCCCAGACACAAACTCCCTGGTGCCCCCCACGCGCACACCAGCGCTCTTCCCTCCCCACATTCCAAGGAAACCCTGCTGGGCCACGGACTGTGTGCATGTGCGTTTGCGTGTGTGCTTGTGTGTGTGTGTGTGTGTGTGTCCGCGCAGAGAGAGCGGGGTCCACCCTGCACACACATCCCTCCCCACGTGCACACAGCGCCCCACCAGCCAACACGCCCAC